AGATGGAATCTTCATCTTGATGTTGCCAAGCTCATCATCTTCTCGACGTCTAAATCCTCGGCGTCCGTTTCTCCTCTCAAACCTGCCATCTCGATCATCTTCTGTATCGGACACATATGCATCATCAAATTGCCGCTGCCATCTAGGTTGTGCCCTAGGCTCTTCTCGCTGATTTTGTGGCCTCCTTCGTGATGGCTCTTGGTCATCTTCAAGTCTTGTCTCACATCTTGCAACTCGGTTGCTAAGTGCTTCAATTTGTAAACTCAATTGCTGGATGCCAGCTAGAATCGCATCATCCCTTGGATGAGTGCGATCCTCCCTTTGATTCACACTTCCCTGGCCTGAGCCTGACATTTTTTTTTTTTTAAACCTGCAAGAAAATGTTAGAGATAAAAGAAATCTCACTAGTCACTCCCTCACGTTTTCCGCTCAAAATGTTTGTCACTCCTCTCGTGTTTAACTCAATTTCGGCTTTTTCTTTCCTCAATTAGACTCACACACTCTTGCCTTTTACCTCTCGTTTCCTTCTAGCAAGCTCTTTTTTTCAGACTTGAATCCAGTCTCACAAGCTCCTCACAACAATCGATAAACCACCAAGCAAGATCAAATTCAGCAATATACCGCTCAACTCAGCAATTCAGCAAATTTTCGCTAAATTCGGATTCAGATTCAATTTCTGCTACTGAAATTTTTTTTTTCTATTCGGTCCAACTATCAATGATAAAAACAAACGAGTCGTCCTCTTGAATTTTTTTTTTTGCCGAAACTTTTTTTTTTTTGGTTTTTTTTTTTGGCCGATTTTTTTTTTTTTGGCTTTTTTTTTTTGCCGAATTTTTTTTTTTGGCTTTTTTCTTTTGCCGATTTTTTTTTTTGGCTTTTTTTTTTGGCCGAATTTTTTTTTTTTGACGAACTCACGTACAATATAAAAAAAAAACAACTAGGACCGAAAACCCTAAATCAAAATTGAAATCACAGCAAGAACAAATTCAGAACCCTAATTCGATTAATAACGAAACCCTAATTCTATAAACCCTAGTTTCTATAAACCCTAGATTGATGAATGAAAAGCAATAAAAGTAGGATAACTAGACCTTGTAGAACTAGCTCTGATACCAGATGATATGAATCTGTGCGGAAGATGATCGTTCTACGAAGATCTATGAGTTACGAATTGCTGCCCTCGACCCCCAATCGAACCTGTGATTGGTAATCTCGGTATGAACGCGACCTGTTGACGAACCTGTGTCAACCAATCCACGCTATAACGCCACGAACAAGAGAATTCGCGATCTTGCTCGATAAGTTGAATTCAATCGCCACAAGGGAGCCTTGATAAGATCTAGTCCTCAAGAGAACTCAAGAAGAAAATTTCTCTGTATAAAATTCTGACCTCTTAGAAATCTATAAGCAACCTTATATAGGGTGCTAACCCTAATCCTAATCCTACTAGGATTAAAATTACAAAAATAACCTTAATTGCTAAAATTCGTCCAAAAATGGAAAAAGGCCTAAAAGTTCATCTAAACGACTCCAAATCGCTAAAAAACGTCATCAATCACTACTAAAGTAGTGAGTATTGATCAGCGGCCCGTTTCCAAGAGTCCATCCAAATTTGAGCCAATTCGGTGTTCGTCAATTCTAAGCTCCTTCGGAATTCGCCGGACCAAGAGTAATCATGTTGCGCCAAGGAGCTTCAGAATCTTCAAGTCTCGAATCCAGATTGTCTCCATTCCAAATATCTTGAACCATGATACCGACAGCTTGTTTGAATTCCTTCGCTCTCGCTCGAGTGATCGGGCCTAGCGGATAGAACAACGGGTCCCTAGCACCTCCTCCTCGATAGGGTTCGATGTCCACATCAAAAAGATGTGATGAGCTCGGAATGAATGCATGAAACGTAATTAGAATATGCATGTGAGTGGAATGGTATTATTATGGCTAACGTGCAGGTTGCACGCTGGAAAAACCCAGGTAAGTGCTGATTGTGTACCTGCGATGTAATAGCTGAGTGTGGTTGTTTGTCGTGATTGTCTGGAGGTACGTGATAGCCTAGGTGGGGTTTAGGGTGTGTGCTTGCTGAGATGTATTCTCATGGTTGTTTCAACCAAACATTTCAGAACCCGGCCTGAGCAATGAATCCGCCGCCGCCGTTGCCGCCGGAGCGTTTTGGGTTACCAGTGCACACCGACCACAATGTCGTAGAGTTTCCGATCGAAGAAAATATGACCTAGATAAAGCATACCTCAGTAGTTTGGGTAGATATAGGGCTACCCCTTTTGCAGGCCCATACATATACTGCATGGTTCTTTAGGGACGGGGTAGATGAGTTCGGTCCCGTCCGAGGGTTTGATGTTCCCTTTGATGGAGTCGGGGATTGGGACCCGTCTGCTATACCTCCTCCTGATGGCGAGTTGACTAGTGTGGAGACTAGTCTAGCGCAGTCAGGACTTCAGCCGGCGCCCGCAGCACCTGAGTCTTCGGGGGCCGAGTAGGAACCAGAGCTTGAAGGATCGCAAGCGGGGTACGACCCGATGGATGTGGATCTTGAGCTGATCCCAGAGGAAGAACCAGAAGAGGAGGAACCCGAGGCGGAACCTGAGGATGAGCCTGCTGAGCCTGAAGAAGAACCGATGTACATTCCCCCGTATAAGCAGTGGATTGACCCCGAATTTGTACCAGAGTACGGATCTGATGAGGAGTTCGACTCAGAGGAACAGAACGAGGTTCCAGCGGAGTCGGGTGACATAAACCACCCGATCGAGATTGAGGCCGAGCCGGAGTCCTCGGAGGAGTAGACTGTTCAGGGGAGCTCAGATTCAGATGACGAAGAATCAGACTCAGAGTGGACGCCAAGCAGAGGGCGTAGGGGCTAGGTTGAGGGGTTGATAATAGACTTTTTGAGTAGTTTCATTTTTGGTGATAGAATACCCAGGTCATCGATCGTTTTGAATATCGGCTGGTTTTATAGTACGGTATGCATATGTATATGGCGGTTTGAAAATTGTGAATATTATATAAGTTAAATGAGGAACGAGTATGTTTATTCTCCTTAATTACCCCAGTCTTTAATTGTCCGGGTATTAGTAGCTTTCGCTGATCGTTTTTAAATCTCTGATAAAGTAAATTGGGTCGGCGATACCCTGGGACATCGCGTTAATCGATCAGAGAAGTGTGTCGCGTGCTCGATGGAGTTTGGGGTGTGACAGCCAGTTTCTGGGTCACCTTGTACTCTGCCATCCCCACAGCCTTGTCGTTTTCAGATGCCACTGCAAGTGAACTAGAGTGTTTGATGCCAACTTGAAGCTTATTCCTGAACTCCAAGAAAGCCTCATCCAGAAAAGGTGAATTTGGATTGCTAAAGCTACCACTGACATTCTTTTGCCAGGCTAGTACTTTAATAATTTTTGCCACTCTCTTTTTGCAGACATCCTCCAATTCCGATTTTTCCCCGTCGTTGAAAGATTTAACCAAATCTCTTAATGTTTCAACATGCTCTTTCTCCTCCTCAGTTTCTAAGTTTACTTCTTTCTCACCATCTTGTGCTTGTGTAGGAATGATCTTCAACTCCACCCCTCGACGCTTCACCTTCAATGAAAAACATTACAAAACTAATTGCCCAAAATAGGAGGTGACAGAGAATGCAAAAGAAATACCAAAACTACAAAAAGGAAATGGATCCTTGTTCATGAAAGAAATATTGATCCAATGACTGGTAACCTTTAGCTTCGCTAGCAAACATTGACAGTAGAGGTAGGGCCGTTTGGTTCAACTTTGAAAATGTTATTTAGGGGAATGCAAATACCTTTGGGTGAAAGCCCATTGGGGAAATGCAAATGGTATTTGGTAAAAATATTTTGTAAAGTTACTTTGGCCAAAATATAGTATTTGATGAATTATTTTTGCAAATGGACTTTGGGAATAAAAAACCTAACTTACCCTTCGCCGGAGCCGGCGTCGGCGAGCCAGATCTGGCGCCGGCGGCAGTCGCCTGAGGTTGGGCGACCGCCGGCGGGCCAGATCTGGGGCCGGCGGCCGTTGCCCGAGGCCAGGTGACCCTCGGCGAGGGTTGCGGGACCCAAGCGGCCGCCTGGGTCGCGCTACTCGGGCGGCCGTCGCCGGGTCGCGCGACCTCGGGCGACCGCCGCTCGGGTCCCGCGACCCGGGCGACGGCCGCCGAGTCGCGTGACCCAGCGGCCGCCGAGGTCGCGCGACCCGGGCGTCGGCCGCCTGGGTCCCATGATCCTCGCCGAGGGTCGCCCGGCCTCGGGGTCGCCCGACCTCGGGCGACGGCCGCCGGTCACCTCACGAAGAAGAAGATCAACAGTACACACGAGGGGCAAAACCGGAATAAGCCAAAATAACTAAGGGTAGTTATGGGATGAAAAATTTGGGTTCAGCATTTGCCAAATGCTGATCCAAATGCTGTTTCAAACGGTTCAGCATTTGGCCAAGGGGCTTTCGAGGCCGAAAGCCGCTTCCAAATGCTGAACCAAACGGCCCGTAGTATGTTCTGGAGAGTGCGTTTTTGCCACACGCTCTGGACTTTGTCTTCCATTTGGAAAAAGTCTTTATGAAAAACAAATATATATTTAGAATTCTCGGAAGCCCATCTAGTCCAATGTTTAATGAAGAACGAACTGTATGATTCAGATGACTATTGTGACTTCAAGCCTCATACAAACTTGCAAAGCTAAAACCAGTGAAATCCACAGGTTTAACAAGTCCATCAGGCAACACGTATAACATAAAAGAGCAAATCCAGTGATTCTCAAGGAAGAGAAAGTAAATAGTTAATACTGATTCCGCGCTGTCTTCCTAATTTCATCGTCTTTTTCCCTCTGCGAATCACTCAAGTGCCCTTCTTTTTCATGAGACGTGTGACATAATTTGATGATGCTGAAGACTTTGTTGATTTCGTTTGAGAGTCACCAAAGCAGGCAATCGGAAAATCCCATGAGTCGGAAAATATACAGAACAAGAAGATAGCTTTCTAATAGACATGAATGAATCAGGACATTCGAAATATATAGAGTTCTTTAAAAGCTAGATCAAACACAACAGAGTATCCAATTAGTATTCCAAATATCACAATTACATACCTGTGAGAACAAGCATTTCACATGAGCAATGTACTCGCATTTGTCACAATAGAAAACCGGAATTGTAGCTCTGATTTTCTCATCACAAACATCACAGTAATCGAAGAAGTCGTCGTAGTTGTCATTGTCGTCCTCCTGCTTCATCGAAGCCCTGAGCTTGAGCAGGTCCCGGGGGCAGTTAAACCGGTGCCTGAACAGGCACGAAGAGCACCTGCACAGCAAGTGAATGGCAACATGGCAGTCCACCTCCAGGCAGCACAGAACAGACGATCGACATGGCTGGCCGCAAGTGCCGCACAGACGGGGTCAACCTCCTCCGCCCCTACCTGCTCCTGCACAGGACCATGAATTCATTCGCAAATAGAAAATGAATCGGCAAGGCGAAGCAAATCAGCTGTGGATTTGGGCCTTGTTTTTTACCTGGTCGAAGAAATGGAGGAGGTGGCGGTGACCACAGAGGTTGATCGGGGGGAGAGGGAAGGTGCAGCGGACGTCGATGGCGAAGCGGCAGGCTGGTTCACGGCAGAGGAACTGGAAGCCGTTGCGCTGGGCGAGGCAGGTAGCGCAGGTGAAGAGGGCAGGCTGGGGCCCGAGGGCGAGGGGTGGGAAGGGTGGCTGGGGTGCGAGACCTCCAGAGGGAGGTGGAGGCGGGCGTAGTCGATGAAGAAGTTGCACTCCTCGCAGCCGTAGGTCATGCCGGTGCACCTGGCCTCACAGGCCGTGCACTTGGCGTGCTCGTAGTCGGCCTTGGTGCAAATCACCAGCGAGTGCTTCAGGTGACTGAAGTGGTCGTACCCCGTGACGGTCCACGGTGACAGCGACGGCGACGGCGGGCAACTGGTGTATGTGCTTGTGTAAGTGATGAACACTGTCACTTTCCCATGAACGAGCACCGACGACGGCGACGAAGGAGGAGGACGAGCAGGAGCTACTCGAATAGCTTCAGTGGCGCCAATACTCAGCTCAACATCTTTTATCAATAGTAAAACATTCTACGGTTACAAAAACTCCCAGATTCCTTATGATCCCCCATATACATCTATCTCTAAGAATATATTCTTTCGAAAGGTCTTTATAAGGCTTTTTTCCACCAAATTTGCCAATTGGCAATTTCATCTAGGGCGCGATTGACAAGAAGAAACAAAGGACAATATTATATAGGAGAAAAGCAAAATGAACAACACTGAAATTAAATGAATTTCATGATGTAATTATAAAAAGTTAAACAATAACCAAAAAATTCATAAAATCAAAATTTAGCACTATTACATAAAAAAAAATGCACATGAATTAATTACATGATTATGAAATATTAAATAATAAAAAAGAACATTCATTAAAAAAACCATATCACATAAACAGTTCACATAACTTAATGACTATTAATATTAATAATCTAATAGAAGATAGCTAAATTCAGCTCCAATAGACCTCGAGCCTAGGCATGTTGTTTTTCCATCTAATTTTTAAGATGTTTGTGTCTATTTCTTTTGTAGACATTAAATATCTTAAAACAAACTAATAGAAGCACAATTAAACTCACGAGTATGTTGATATGAGTATTCACAAGTTCGAGCTTTGACTGGTCATGGTGCTCGGGTAAGCTCAAGCTCAATTTGGAATCACACGAATCAATCTCAAGTAACTACTAATTTTCAAGTTGAGTATGAATTTCACGCGAATAGCTCGACTCAGTTTCGTCTCTATATACCTGATGGTAAATTTATATTGAACTAAATATTGTAGCTCAATCAAGAGGTTCCAAAAAAAGTGTATATATATCCAATATTTTATTATTTTAATGCATACATAGAATATAAATCTACTCTAATCATTTTCAAACAAATTAACCACAGCAAAATTTTAGTTTAAGCTCAAAGGTGTTTGTCCGCCTTTTGATTATTTTTCGATTTCACCGAACAACTGTTTCAATTTTTTTTGGGTCCATCGAAATACATGGCCTCATAACTCTATATAATCAAGCCAGAAGTTGCATTTACTAGTTTAGCAAACAACTTCTTTTCATTTGAAGCCTGTAAGGTAATCCTCAAGTGTTGTTTGTGTCACTCCAAACTAATCTAATACACCAAAATTTCATCGATGAACACTAAAATAGATCTATCTAGGTACTCTTTATATACTTTGCTCATCAGACCTAATCCTTTTTGAGATAACATCAAAATCTTGTATATTCAACTCCTATTAGATCCACATGTAATTCTACATTTTTAATCTAGAGCACATATTTCTTGCACACAAGGTCAGTAATCGAGAAACCATTGCTTCACAAATTCTAGTCAAATCAGTTTTGTCACGACCTAAATTTGCCAGCCCATTTGAACCATGAATTTTGTCACTTTCAAATATTTAGCCTCAACCAATGTACATGATAACCCTCGGATTATAAAACGTATCTCTACTTTCGCTACGCACTTTGATTCCATCCTTAAAGAGACTTTATGAGGTGCTAAATGTCCTCAACCAATCTTAAATGAAGGACCTGAATAACTCAATGCATTTATCACCTTTTGAGACTACAAGATAAGTAAGACTAAACAACTCAATCAAATACACTTTGGTGCCTCGAGAACCTTGCGACACATATCTAATATTCCAAGTAACGACTCGCTTACATATATTATTATTCAACAAACGTATCTAAGTCGTAACCCACTAATACCAGGACTCGAAATTAGACTTATACCTTAATACCAAACAAAGGACTAACGCGTTATAAACTAGAACACAATCTCATAATGTCCCATAAAATATACACCGAAAATATCATAACCTAAGCTCTAATACCAACAAATGTCATACCCGCAACTCCACAAGTACAAGGGCAATGACACGGACGTTCTTCCACTCAAAAGACACAGTCTCAATGAAATATATACATTCATATATTTGATAAAAGAGTTATCTGGTTATAGGATTATAGTTTTTAATAATCTAGTAAAAGAATATATACATCTCAAACTAACAACTAAACTCAGAAGTTCACCTCAGACATAAACGACTCATACTAAAAAATTCCCACTATCAAAATTTCCTGGTGATAACTTAAACACTCTCGTCCTGCTTGTGGTTTGCTAAAGAAACTGAAAAGCAAGTAAGATGAATGGAATGAGCAACCATAATCCAATGAATAGTACGTCTCTTCTAAGCAGATTGGGAATCTACTATGCATCTTTATAAAACAATATCATAACTCATTTAATCCAAATCCAGTATAAAATATACGTAAAACATCAAAAAAATGAGTCATATCGTTCAAGAAAGCTTCATACGTAACATCAATACTCTTTCAATCCACCATCATAAATTAAACATCAATGGTCAAATCCATTGATCTATCTCTATCAAATCAAACATCAATGAACCATCCCATTGATCAATCTTTATAAAATTACATGTCAATGGTTCATTTCATCGACCAATCTAATGCTCAATATCTAACTATGGTTACGTTTAATGCCCGTGAAGAAGGCGACCAAGTTCCCTGCCTGGTTAGGTCTTCACTTATATTAGCTCATGGTTTGGCCTAGAACAACGTTATGATAATAGCATTTTACTTAACTCCTCAATGGGATATAATCATAGTGATATGAGCATAATTCATTAACATCATTCTCCAATAACCCACAAATCAAATCCAGAATCCATCTCAAAATTCAGGTTTACTGACCAAATCATATAACTTTTCACAATTGAATATATCAAATAGAATACCTTTCATAAACCATATATATATACATATACATATATATTTATTCTTTCTCAACCCAGTGCATTAGTCAGGATTTCTTTCATATGAATATATCCCAAATCATTTGAGAATTCATTTCATAAATCAAATTCGCAAAGTAGTATATATATAGAACCTTTCACAACACCTTTCCATAAAACATTTCTCAACCATTCACAAATACTGAAGTAGTAAATGCTTGATCTAGACTTTTAAGCAAGAAAAAAATGCCCATTTCGTAACTTATAATATATCTAATCCATATCACTATTGAAATATGAGTTTAAAAATTCGAAAAAGAGATATCACCACTTATTTGGGAAAGTTGAAAACTAATCTACGAAGGTTACTCAAACCGACGAACTCGTATTTCTATCAATTAATCGAAAAACGATATTAAAATCTAATTAAAACAGTACTCTAATGAACAACTCGACTAAACTATGCTTATTCATCGATCAATTGAATCCTACACGCTAACGAAGAAACTTGTTCACAACGAACATTCATCTTTGTCCGTTATGTGTAACTCACTCGTGTAAATTTAAAAATCCATTTCAGTCAAACCATAGTTCATAATCGATTTTTGTCAAACCTCACAACTCCATAATACCCTAAACTATCATCTCCATATAATTCCCAACTTAGCAACTACTAAATTGGAACCCGTAGTTCAAAATTCACATAACTCCGAATTTATGGCTTAATTCTGAAAATTACTCATATTAAATGAATAAATAACTCGAATCCTTACCTAACGTTGTCCAAATGTGCACGCGCGAAAATTTCTCTCTTTTTCTTCGTTTTCTCTTTTCCTTTTTCTTAACGTAGCTTCTCTCTTCTTCTTTTTTTTTTTTTGTAGTTTTAGTTCCCTTTAAAAAGCTTCAGCTGAAGCAAGCCCGAGGAAAGGAGTTAAATAAGAACTTGGGCTTGGGCTTGGGCTTGGGCTTGGGCTTGGGCTCAATATTTTAAGAGAAGGCCATGTTTCATTTTGTGTCTAGATACGGATTAGGAAGCGAATATGAAATGGAAGAACAAGAAGCCGGTATGAATTCTGTAAGTATCTAAGCTTTCTTAATGTTTGACTAAAAATTTTCTGCCAATATGGATGGACCGAAGGCCGGCAATGCAATGTTTTAATATTTTCTTCTGCAGGCCAGCAATTCGCCGATGAATCCAAGAATTAGGATGTTGAATTTGGGTTTGCATGAGCCAAGCATATATTGTTTTCAGCTGATAAGCTCTTGTTTGGTTTGGTAATTGTTCATGGACATGATACACGAAACACTTCCTATGTTACATACATGTGTTGCTGAGTTTTTGCCTTCATAAATTTGAATATGTTTGTTCATAAGTAACCCAATATCAATAACAATTTTGGGGTTCACTACATGTTCACTGAAGAGATTCATGGTGCATATGGTGATGGTAGATTCAGAACAAGCTCAAGTTATGAAGGGGCCAAATAAGAAAGTAAGTGGACTAGGACGGAGGTTGTCAGCCCAACAACCTCCATCACAGGCTTCGGTAACAGGTCAAGCAATTTCTTCTTAATTCCAAATAGAATGACTGTGTTAAGAATGCTATCATTTTTGGTTAATCTGAATAATATATTTCCTGTGAGCACATACACAATGTATAAGCAACTTTAAATTTACAATTGACGGGATTGTGTACTCGTTCCATGCAAGAGGTGTTTCAGAATGAGTGATAGACTCGTCAGCTGCCTATTTCGTGGTGGGAAGCTTTTGAAAGCTCTAAATGCTGCAAACTTTTGTGTAAGTGAGTGGATTGTGCTGATGAAAAGGAAAGAAGACACTGGGGGACTAGAATGTAAAAGGAAATCCTGGAATTGACCTCATTCTGGAAAACTTGCTAATGAAGAGATGCCCATGCCACTTGTTGGACTCAACATATAGTGAGATTATGCTTACAACCCAAGCTCATGACACTATCAATCTTCCAGTCATGATGCACCACATTGTGGATAACCAAGG